TGAAATTGCCTATTCTGATTGTTTCATATAAATGAAACCATACAGTATGTGACCTTTTGTGTCTTGTTTAGCTCATTCTTGAACTCTCAGCATCATCACAGTACTGGAATTAAGTAGGTACTCAATAAATATTTGCTGAGGTAGGCCATGGTGGCTCATACCCGTAATCCCAGCATTTTGGGAGGCCAAGGCAGGTGGCTCACTTGAGGTCAGGAGTTCAAGACCAGCCTGGCAAACAAGGTGAAACCCCGTCTCTACTTAAAAAAAAAAAAAAAAAAAAAAAAAAACCCTAACTAACTAAATAAATATTTGCTGAGCCAACAGAGAACTACAGGAACAAGGAATAATTCAAGTTAGAAAAATGTCACAAAATTTTAAAAGTAGAAGAAACTTTAAATATTATTGCTACTATTTGAATGTGTAACCCAAAGTTCATATTTTGGAAGCTTAATCCTCAATGCAAGTGTTGAGAGCTGGGATCTTTAAGAGGTGATTAGGTGCCTTCACGAATGGATTACTGTTGTTATCCCAGAAGCAGTTTCATTATCAAGAAAGTGGGTTTGTTATAAAAGCAAGTTTGGGGCCGGGCGTGGTGGCTCAAGCCTGTAATCCCAGCACTTTGGGAGGCCAAGGCAGGTGGATCACGAGGTCAAGAGATTGAGACCATCCTAGTCAACATGGTGAAACCCCGTCTCTACTAAAAATACAAAAAATTAGCTGGGCGTGGTGGCGCGTGCCTGTAATCCCAGCTACTCAGGAGGCTGAGGCAGGAGAATGCCTGAACCCAGGAGGCGGGGGTTGCGGTGAGCTGAGATCGCGCCATTGCACTCCAGCCTGGGTAACAACAGTGAGACTCTGTCTCAAAAAAAAAAAGCAAGTTTGGTACACTCACTTTCCCTCCTTGCTCTCTCTCTAACCAAGTGATGCCTTCCTCCACATTATAATACAACAAGGAGGTGTATTATATATCCTTGCTGTATTATACAAGATGGACATCCTTGTTCTTGGACTTCCCAGCCTTGATAACCATAAGCTAATACATGTCTCCTCTTTTTATATCACCCAGCCTCACGTATTGTTAAGCAGCACAAAATGAACTAAGACAGTCACTTAGTCCAAATATCTAATTTTCTAGATGAGGAACTCAAGATCCTGACTTACTCAGGGTCAGTCAGCCACTTAGTAACAGAACTGAGACTAAAATTCAATAAGTCTGGCTCACAATTTAGAAGTTTTTCCAGACTGTCTCTCCAAAATGAAATCCTCCTTTTCTTTCACTTTATCTAATATGATACACTACCAGGGCGTCCTTAGTTCTTTGGCTTGCTTGCTTATTTCTAAACATGGTAGGGTCTCTTTCTAGTGTTCCAGCATGAGCTTGCTTCAGGAAGGCAAAAAGATCTAAATTATTTTTTTCAAAAAACATGGTGAAACCTCATCTGTACTAAAACCATACAAATTAGCCGGGTGTGGTGGTGGGCGCCTATAATCCCAGCTACTTGGAAGGCTGAGGCAGTAGAACTGCTTGAACCCAGGTTGCAGTGAGCTGAGACGGCACCATTGCACTCCAGCCTGGGCAACAAGAGCAAAACTCCGTCTCAAAAAAAAAATAGCCAGATTCCTTTCAACTTCTAACTATTCTGTTGCTACTGTTTTCCCTTTGAGCAGGTATTTTGTGGAGGACTTCTATTCAAGTACAAACCCTGCTTAATTTTGAAAGCTCACAAGTTGATAATCCAGGAGGTATGACTTTAGACAGCACACATCCTCAGAGAATAGGTCTGATTTTTTTGTGTGTGTTATCCTTTTGTTCAGGCTCATTATATTAAAACCTATAAGAGATCTCCTAACTATGAATTTTAAGAACTGAAAGCTAACTTTGAAATGTCATTCTCTTATATATTTGTTTGCAAATTAGATCCACACATATTCGAAACCTCACAGGGCATCAATACCATTCTTTCTTTGGTTTGTTTTTGAGACAAAGTCTTACTCTGTTACCCAGGCAGGAATGCAGCAGTGCAATCTTGGCTTACTGCAACCTTGATCTCCTGGACTCAAGCAATCCTCCCACCTCAGCCTCCTAAGTAGCTGGGACCACAGGGAATGTGCCACCACACTGAGCTAATTTTGTTTATTTTGGTGGAGATGAGGTCTCACTATGTTGCCCAGGCTGGTTTTGAACTTCTGGGCTCAAGCAATACTCCTTCCTTAGCCTCCCAAAGTGCTGAGAATATTAGTGTGAGCCATTGCAACTGACCCTCATTCATACTTGATATGACTACTTTGTGACAAGGATTATGATCTTCTTGAAAAAAGGCAATATTTCTGTGCTTTTTCTGGTAAAGATTCACTCTAGGCTTACCTCTTGACTTATATCTCAATTGTCCTATTTTATTTTTTTTGTTTATTCATTTCATTTTCTTTTTCTGAGACAGGATAGAAGGCAGTAGCATGATCTGTTACCTAGGCTGGAGTTCAGTGGCATAATCGCAGCTCATTACAACCTCAAACTTCTGGGCTCAAGTGATCCTCTCACCTCAGCCTCCAAAGTAGCTGAGACTATAGGCATGCACCACCATGCCCTGCTAATTTTATTTTTTATTTTTGTAGAGTTGGGGGATGGGTCTCACTACGTTGCCCAGACTGGCTTTGAACTCTTGGCCTCAAGTGATCCTCCCACTTTAGCCTCTCAAAGTTTTGGAATTATACACGTGAGCCACCACACCATGCCTTCAATTGCCCTATTTTAAATGGTGGCACAATTACTTTCTATTTTACCCCTGCTATGTGTGAGTCCAAGATTCAAATGAAGATTAGACAGCTGCTATTTAGTTTACTAAGGCCTAAACCACTTTTTAAAACCATTCCAAGTGAAGCAAAAGCCAAAGTTTTATTACATTTTCCCAAATATTATCATAGTTGATTTATGAAGGCTCTCTATCCATCTTTCTCAATCTCTAAAATAATTTTTTATAAGAAAATCCCCTTTCTATCAAGTGAACACTATCCAATAGCTGGATTCTGAAACGCAACTATATGACCTTCCTTACAAATGCATGTTATTAAGGATGGCTTTACTCAAAAGAACCCATTTAACATAAATGGGTTCAACAGATTCATAAAGCTGGAAGGGAGCAGAGACATCCTCCAATCCCTTCCATTTAAAGAAGATCCAATTCTGTGGAGGAAGGATCTTTTTTTCAACAAATGATGCTGAAACAAGAGGACATGAGGGCAGGTGGGGGGAAGAAAAAGAAGAAGAGAGAACGAAAAGAACCTTTACCTAAATCTCACACTGTATACAAATATTAATGCAAAATGGATCATGGATTTAAACCTAAACATAAAACTATAAAGGAAGGTGAGGCTAAGCGAGGGAACTTGGTTTGCTAAAGTCCACCCAGTTACTTAGACCTTCCAACAGAGCTTGCTTCAATAAATTATTCACCATTTTAACAAATTCCATTTGGCCCTGGTAATTCCCCTACCTGTGTTCATTCAGAGTAAATGGTTTCCACTATATTAATTGAGTATTTGTTCATGCTTTTTTGACTTGTTAATATCATTTTCATGCTATTTCAATTCATTCATTCAACATCTACGAGGCAACTACGATGTGCCAGGCAATGTGCAGGATTACAAGATGTAAAATACTGTTCCTACCTCAACAGATTGATGATCCAATGGAGGAGAAATTAGATTATGATCCTGATGAGATTAAAAACCCCTTTAGGGCCAGAACCACCCCTCATTTCTACCAGCTGAGTACACGATGTACTGCACAGCCTGTCCAGTGCTCTGCGCACTGGGAAATATTTTGGTGATTGGCTAATCTTGAGGTTCAAGACACTCTCACCCTCTGAACTGTTTAGAGAACTGAAGTCCACAGAGATTAATTGGCAAATCCTCACTAAATTGAAAGGGGAACTGAGGTCAAGGTGGGTGGGGTGGCTCGTCCCCACCTCTCTCACCTCTTGGCCTGTACCAGGTATTGATCCTGGCAGAAAAACCTCAACAGCTGGGGAGAATCAGACCCAGGTAAGATAAAACCCAAAAGCTCCACCACACAAGGCCCCCTCCAATGCAGGGCATAGACTTCATCTGCCCCATCAGCCTCATCATGGCTCATTATGGCCCATTATGGCTGCTGCTTCCTCAGCAAGTTTGATGATTTCATGTCCAGAAAAATCTGATTTTTTTTTTTTTTTTTTGAGACAGAGTCTCATTTTGTAACCCAGGACGGAGTACTGTGGTGCGATCTCGGCTCACTGCAACCTCTGCCTTCCAGGTCCTGGTTCAAGCAATTCTCCTGCCTCAGCCTCCCCAGTAGGTGGGATTACAGGCACCAGCCACCAGGCCCGGCTAATTTTTGTATTTTTAGTAGAGACAGAATTTCACCATGTTGGCCAGACTGGTCTTGAACTCCTGACCTCGTGATCCGCCTGCCTCAGCATCCCAAAGTGCTGGGATTACAAGCATGAGCCAACGTGCCCGGCCTAAACAATCTGAATTTCAAAGCTACTTGGGTGCTCTCTGTCCGGTTCTGGGGAAATCGCCTCAATTTTGCCTTCCTCCTCAGCCTTCTGCCCTCCCGCTTCTCTTCACAGTACCTTTGGCCCCCACGAAAAATACTTTCAAATCTAACTTAAAGCCTTAAGCAATAAGAAAAGAAAAAAAAAAGTTTAACATAAAGACAGAACTAACAACGCACAAATGCCCTCTCCGGCCGGAGACCTCGCGTCAGAACCGCCCTCACCTCAGCTTGTCGACGCCTCCCTCCCACCTGCAGTCAACGGCCTTTTCCGGCCCAAACCCGCGCCTCGCCTCATGAATAGTCAACGAGGACTTTCTGGGCGGGACCAGAGGCTTCCTCATAAATAATTCATGACCCGGCCCTGGCTCGCCAGGGCGACCGGCCTTGCTAGACTTCATGAATATGCAAAGCAGGGGCAAGCGGCAGCTAACCTGCCCCGCTGGCCCGCCGGGCCCCTCAGCTGCAGCCTCTCAGGAGGGGGCTGCACGAGGACCTGATGCGGCTATCGGTCGGCGGCCGCCCTCCTGGGCCACCTGTACAGCGATAGCCTGCTCCAGAGCTTCCTGAGGAGGCGCCTGCCCGCCAAGGTTAGGACCCGAGGGACCGTGGGGCTCGGGCGGGCCAGGACGCCAGGCCGGCGGGTCCCAGAGAGACCTGAGGCCGGCGCGGGGCGGCGTGGGGGAGGGGAGCGAAAGCCTCTGGGGCCCAGGGAGCCGAGTTAGAAGAAGGCCCGAGGAGCGCGGCGCGTTGGTGCCGCCTGGGATCCCAGCACTTTGGGAGGCTGAGGTGGGCGAATCACTTGAGGTCAGGAGTTGGAGACCAGCCTGGCCAACATGGCGAAACCCCCGTCTCTACTAAAAATACAAAATTTAGCCGGGCGTGGTGGCGCGCGCCTGTAGTCCCAGCTACTTGGGAGGCTGAGGCAGGAGAATCGCTTGAATCCGGGAGGCGGAGGTTGCAGTGAGCCAAGTTGGTGCCACTGCACTCCAGCCTGGGTGACAGAGCGGGACTCTGTCTCAATTTTTTACAAGTACAGAAATTAGTTGGGCCATCATGGCGCGCGCCTGTAGTTCCAGCTACTAGAGAGACTGAAGTGGGAAGGTGGCTTGAGCCCGGGAGTTTGAGGTTGTAGTGAGCGGCGATGGCGCCATTGCACTCCAGCCTGGGCGACAGAGGGAGACCCTGTCTCAAGAATAGAAAAAAAGAAAAGAAAGGAAAAAGACAGAAGGCCAGAGCTTTCCAATACTTGAGGGCATCCGCAACCTCCTCACTCTACCCTGGACCTGCCTTTGTATTCTTTGTAACATTAATTTGTAATTAGGCAAATTATGCAAATAAAACATGAATATGTTCTCCTTTGTGCTCTACTCCTAATCTCCGTCTTTTCTGCCCTGGTAACTAGGAGTAGTTGGGGGTGTGGCTCCTTGGATCCTTTCCCACCTGTTTAGGTTATTTCGTATCCTGTGGAGTTTTCCAAAGGTTCCTGGAGTCCCATGAACCTCCCCAATGGGATTTCCCAAGAGAGTAGATGCAAGAGTGAGCCACTTAAAACCTGCTCTTATTTTGTTTCTGCAGCAAGGGTAAAAAAACGATTCAAGCTGGCAAGAACATGAGCTTAGAACATAATGACTAAAACTGAAATTTGGGCTGAAATATTTCTTTAGTGCAAGTTTTCTCAACCCCCCCCCCCCACCATCATAACAACAAAAATGTCTCTAGACTTTGCCAAATGTCCCATGGGGGGGGTTGCAAAATTGCCCTCTGTTGAAAACTACTGCATTCACCCTATACTTTCAGGAAGTAACTGCTTTTTAAGCTCCAATGACACAGATGGTTTGTCTGTACCAGCCCTTCTCAGCCTCCGCATTTACCAGCCTTTCTGGCTGGATCACTAAGCCCTCTTTGCTGGCTGTTCCAATTTTCTTCCTGTCTTCAGGTCTGAGCTCAGTCAACTACCACCATATCCAAAGACTTTCCCCTCTCTGCCCTATACTAATGGGAGTCAGCCACCAGCAAACAGTTATTTGTTACTCTGTTTCTTTCATAGAATTTCTCTCAATCTAGGTTTCTTTTTCTTTTTTTTCTTTTTTTTTTTGAGACAGAGTCTTGCTGTGTTACCCAGGCTGGAGTGCGGGTTACTGCAACCTCTACCTCCCATGCTCAAGCGATTCTCCTGCCTCAGCCACCTGAGTAGGTGGGGTAACAGGTGTGCACCATCATGCCCAGCTGATTTTTGTGTTTTTCGTAGAGACAGGGTTTCACCATGTTGGCCAGGCTGGTCTTGAACTCCTGACCTGAAGGGATCCACCCACCTCAGCCTCCCAAAGTGCTGGGATTACAGGTTTGAGCTCCCATGCCTGGCCCTGGATTTTATTTCTTTGATAACCTGTTTTGGTTTTTTTTTTTTCTCTCTCTCTACCACCTAGAATAAGTAAGAGGCCTGATCTGGCTGAGTTGCCCCAGGATGCCCAGTGCTGGAACACACTTTAGGCACTCAAAAGACATTGGTGGACTGAAATTATAAATGACCCTGTCTTCCTCCTAAGAGCTTCTGTGGAGCTTCTCTTACTCCTTTCCTTCCTCATCATTTGACAGGCTCCTTGTGATCATGGATGAATAAGCACCTGTGCTAGGAGCTGTTGGGTAAAGCCTTCACCTTTCCTAGTGATAAGAGACTGGAAATTGTTCGTGTCAAAGCAAAGTCTTTTGTTTTGCAAGGGGAAAATGTGCATTGTGGTAGAACTTGATCATTGTTTAGGAATTTCCAAATAGGTAGGGCAAGGTGGTTCATGATAGTAATCCCAGAACTTTGGGAGGCTGAGGCGACCAGATCACTGATGCTAGCTTATCAGCTTCTTGAGGGCAAGAGCTGTTATTTTTACTTATTTTATTCTGTTCATTGAAAGTACTCAGCTGAATGAACTAATGTTCCTCAGTGAACACTGGGTGTTCAAATAGTTGAATGAATGAATCAGTTACTTAAAGAACAACATTAGACAATTAAAATTTGATAGTGTTACAGGGGCTTTGGAAATCCTCCAAGTCTAGTTCTTTACAGATGAGAGTACAAGTAATTTGCTCAAGGTCCCTAAGCTTCTTAAGAGGCTAGGTCACACGTACAACCCGTGGTCTCGCACCTCTCTTATTTCAAGGCTCTTTCTTGTCTCCAGCCAGCCTAATTTCTGAATACTTTTCGGTGAATCTGACTTACAACTCAAACACAGAAATCCTGAGCCAAATACTTGCTTCTTGTCAACTAAAAAGGCTTTTGAGCCTATGCTTTTTCATCTTGATTAAATCCAACCCTGGGGATAATGGTCTAATGAACTCAAAAGTGCTATATGATATTAAAACAACTTCCCAGCTTCCTTTGTACCTTTCAATGATAAGAGACTGGAAATTGTTCCTGTCAAACCAAAGTCTTTTGTTTTGCAAGGGGAAAATGTGCATTGTGGTATAACTTGATCATTGTTTAGAAATTTCCAGATAGGCCAGCAAGGTGGCTCATGCCTGTAATCCCAAAACTTTGGGAGGCTGAGGCAGGTAGATCACGAGGTTAGGAGTTTATAAACAGCCTGACCAACACGGTGAAACCCCGTCTCTACTAAAAATACAAAAATTAGCACTCCAGCCTGGGCGACAGAGTGAGATTCTGTCTCAAAAAAAAAAAAAAAAAAAAAAAAAAAATGGAAAAAAGAAATTTCCAAATAACCAGAATTTTGACAAAGATCAAAAGTCTTCTGTTTTTGAAGTTTTGCCAAACCCCAGTGGTAAAATAACACATGACAGGTGAAAATGGGGAAGGGCGCCTTACTTGAGATTACTTTCATTGGCTAAATTTGACCTTCTTCTCCTTAGACACATTTATGTCACCTGACTGTATCTGCAGCGGTTGTCAATCACCAACCAGTCTCTAGTTAGACCCTTGTTTTTTTGAGGGCTAAGGACCATTTTTCCTTCTTGTTTAAAAGGAATTCAGGGTTTCTTCTTTGTTCTTTTTGATCATTTCATATAGGCAGCACCTGGTTAGGGGAGTCTCAGTGTCATGCTTTCAGTTTTTAGACCTTTATACTTTATTTTCTTTCTTTTTTCTGTTTTTTTTTGCTGGGATTGCAGGTGTGAGCCACTGTGCCTGGCATAGACCTTTATAGTTTCTTCCAAGGTATCTGACAGCGCACTGTGTCAGAGGAAGCAAAGCTATCTTTTTTTTTTTTTTTGAGACTGAGTCTCACTCTGTTGCCCAGGCTGGAGTACAGTGGTTCGATCCTGGCTCACTGCAATCCTCCACCTCCCTAGTTTAAGCCATTCTCCCGCCTCACCCTCCTGAGTAGCTGGGATTACAGGCACTTGCCACCATGCCCAACTAATTTTTATACTTTTCACAGAGATGGGGTTTCACCATGTTAGCCAGGCTGATCTCGAACTCCTGACCTCAAGTGATCTGCCTGCCTCTACCTCGCAAAGTGCTGGGATTACAGGCATGAGCCACCACGCTTAGCCAGCAGAACTATCTTTTGCCTACCTAGAATGATTGGAACTTTGCTTATCAAGTTCAGCTTAACCTTGGGAATCTTCCCCAAAAGATGGTTTATTGGAGAGTTATCTAAATAGACATATTAAATATCTTCCCAGGAGGAGATCTCCCATTAGGTGTGTCTCCTTCTTCAATGTAAATAATCATGATACCAAATACAGGGAAAAGAGATTTGGATGGAGGGGGCAGCTAAGTAGAAAGGGTAGTTTCTTTGTTTTCAACATTTATTATTTTTTTTAAATTTTTAAAAATTTTTTTATTTTTTTGAGATGGAGTTTCGCTCTTGTTACCCAGGCTGGAGTGCAATGGCACAATCTCGGCTCACCGCAACCTCTGCCTCCTGGGTTCAGGCAATTCTCCTGCCTCAGCTTCCTGAGTAGCTGGGATTACAGGCACGTGCCACCATGCCCAGCTAATTTTTTTTTTTTTTTTTTGTATTTTTAGTAGAAATGGGGTTTCACCATGTTGACCAGGATGGTCTTGATCTCTTGACCTCATGATCCACCCGCCTTGGCCTCCCAAATTGCTGGGATTACAGGCTTGAGCCACCGCGCCCGGCCTAAATTTTTTTTTTTTGAGACAGAGTCTCACTCTGTCGCCTCAGCAGTAGTGCAGTGGTGCCATATTGGCTCACTGCAACCTCCGCCTCCCAGGTTCAAGTGATTCTCCTGCCTCAGCCTCCGAGTAGCTTGGGATTACAGGCGCCCGCCACTATGCCTGGCTAATTTTTGTATTTTTAGTAAAGACGGAGTTTCACCACGTTGGTCAGGCTGGTCTTGAACTCCTGACCCAGGTGATTCGCCCACCTCTGCTTCTCAAAGTGCTGAGATTACAGGTGTGAGCTACCATGCCCAGCCTCTCTTCAACATTTATTAGAACTCTGTAAAGCATAATGTCCGGTTATCATAAAGTTGACACCACCACGTTCATTCATCAAGCATTTATGTATCTACCATTAATAAAGCACTCTACTTTGCACTGCAGCAATCACAGAGGTAATGACTTGGTCCCTGAACTATGGAATTTTACAGTTTAGTGAGAGAGGGAGATCTGTAATACTAATGGAGATATAAAGTATTATGATATAATGTAGAGAAGGAAGCTGTACATTCTGAATTGGGAATCAAGACAGCCTTACAAAGGAGGTGACATTTTGGGAAGAGAGCATGGGTATATCAATTTCTTTGCTTGTTCTTTGGCAATGGTTAGAATACCTCAAACCAATAAAAGCAGACATTTTGCCCACCACTTTAGAACCAGGAGAGAAAAGAAGGTGTAAGATCCTTTCTTTCCACTCCTGGCAGCAACATGCTCCTGAAAGCTAAATGTTGCTTTTGCAATTCCAAGTGTCTCACTATGGTTAAGAGAAAAGCTGAGTAGAGAGAGCCCTCCCTCATCTTGGTCTCCTTCCTCAGTAAGGTTAAGTCAAATGTGGCTTTTTCTTTTTGGGTGCCTTGTTTCAAGTGCTTATTTCTATATTGGGATGTTATTTTATTCTGGTTTCCACTGGGGCATGCAGTAGCCATGTGATTGCAGGGAGTGGTCAATGGCACTTATAAATGTATTAATGAACATGACTCTGAAGTCCTAAAATTATAAGCAGTACTGAGAAAAGAGAAGCAAAATTATTTAGAGAACTGAGGTTTTGATTCAAGCCTTTGCATGTGAACTGGCTATATTGCTAACTTATTTCAGGTATTTTGTAGAAAGAAAGGCAAATGTAAAGAGTTACCAACTTGGCTGTAGCTTCTGAACTTTATCCATCCTTTGGCAGCCAAGGAGAAAGCAGTCAATATGAAATAAGTCCCCAACTGTAAGATCTAAACATAACCTCCTGCTGCTTCTGCCCACACACTGTCATCCTACAGAATATAATTCCACATGGAGGTGGCAATTTATTATGGCCTTCATCCTCACCAGAGCTGCATATCAATTTCTGCCTCCTTCAGATGGATCTTTTCTGACTGGCAGAAGGATCTCTATGAGGGTTGTGTGTTTCTGGGGAAAGCCTAGAGTTTAATGAACTAGAACAGGAAATGACAGGGGCTGTAAGTGACAATCTGCTGCTTGCTTGAGTGCCTAGACTAAGAAATGATGTCAAGGAAGATATTGAATTCTCAAGCATTATGGAAATGTTCTATTTAGCTACTTGGTTCTGTCTTCTGCTGAATGTGAAGTTTTGTTGATGGGTAAAATGATGTCATTCCCCTTAATGATTATCACTTAATAGAAGTTTCAAATGAAATTGACTTTAAACTGATTTTCCTTGATTGCTACTTGGTACATCTGCACAGAGATCTAGATGGGGTGATGTGCAAAATGCACCACACTATTGACAGCCTGTAATTTGAGGCTCTTTATTTTCTACACTTCTTGGTGCTTGGAAAATGACAGTTACCTAAAAAATGGTTTAGAATTCCTCTAAGACCATATTGCAAGCTCAGCCCCATGAGGGGCTTGTTTTTCTTCCCTTAGTTGAAACTAACTTCATGATAAGTTAAATTTATAAATACTAATGATCTCTGATTGCAAAGGTCCCAAATTTAAGACCAGAATACTTATGATCTTTGCATAAGCTGAACACAATAATACAAGAAATCTGAGGCAAACTTTTCTTACATCGCTTCTCATTAAACTAACAAAGGCCAATTTCTTCCTGCCAAAAGAAAGGTTAAGCAGCTGGAAAGTGTAAGACATCACAGGAAAATTACCTACCTAGCTTTAAAAATGGAAGGGAGAAAGAGACTTGGAAGAAGGCCTCCTTTATAGGTTTGCTAGAACTTACATATTAGGAAACTGTCTTCCTCCAAAAAAGCCAGATTTCTGTGGAAACCATGTTCTTAAATGTGCCAGGGGCTATGTTAACCTCAATCACATTAATGCACAGCACAGAAAGATTTACTGTTTTAAGAGGCATGGGGGCTGGATGCGGTGACTCATGCCTGTAATCCCAGTACTTTCGGAGGATGTGGAGGGAGGAGGATCACTTGAGCCCAGGAGTTTGAGACCAGCCTGGGCAACATGGTGAAACCCTGTCTCTATAAAAAAATATAAAAATTAGCTGGGCGTGGTGGCATGAACCTGTAATCCCAGCTACTCAGAAGGCTGAGGTAAAAGGATTGATTGAGCCCATGAGGTTGAGGTTGCAGTGAGCTGTGATCGTGCCGCTGTTCTGCAGCCTGGGTGACAGAGTGAGACCCTGTCTCAAAAAAAGAAAAGAAGCATTGGGAAAATCCAAAGTATGGCTTCTACTCATCAATAACTGAGGACACTCCCCTCTTTTTGTTGAAGAGTGACTAGATATAAAACATGCTCAATAAATACTGTTGAACAAATGCACATATGTTGTTGGAAGAATCCCAGATATTATCCAAGTAATTAACTGAGATAGATGTGTTCTAATTACAAGGGTTGATCTTCGAAAAGATACACTGCAGATGTCCTATTTCTGACAATTATTTTTTATTTATCCTGATTTGAAACCATTATCTTTTCGTGTATGAACTTTTTATTCAAGTTGAAGCTGCAGTGAGCTGTGATCGTGCCATTGCACTTCAGCCTGGGCAACAGAGCAAAACCCTGTCTCTAGAAGTATTTTTGATTAAACATATAGACCAAATTCACCACTTTAAAATATACAAATCAGTGTATTTTAGTATATTCACAAAGTTGTGCAGTCATCACCACTAATTGCAGAACACTTTCATCATCCCAAAAAGAAACCCCATGCTTGTTAACAGTTGTTCCCCTCATTCCCTCCTTTCCTGTTCCTTGCCAACCGTTAATCTACTTTCTGTCTCTATGGATTTGTCTATTCTGGATATTTCATATAAATGGTATCATATACTATGGCCTTTTGTGTCTGGCTTCTTTCACTTAATATGATAACTGAGGTATAATATTCATTTATGTTGTAGCATGTATTCTTTTATTTTTTTTGGAGACAGAGTCTTGCTCTGTCACCAGGTGCTGGGCTAGGGTGCAGAGGTGCGATCTGGGCTCACTGCAACCTCTGCCTCCCAGGTTCAAGCAATTCTCCTGCCTCAGCCTCCTGAGTAGCTGGGACTACAGGCATGTGCCACCACACCCAGCTAATTTTTGTGTTTTTTTAGTAGAGACAGGGTTTCACCATGTTGGCCAGGATGGTCTTGATCGCTTGACTTCATGATCCACCCGCCTCGGCCTCCCAAAGTGTTGGGATTACAGGCATGAGCCACCATGCCCCGCCAGCATGTATTCCTTTTTATGGCTAAAAAGTATTCCATGTTTACCATATTTTGTACATCCATCAGTTGATGGACATTTGGGTTTTCATCTTTTTGCTGTGAAGAATAATACTTCTGTGAACATTCATGTACAAGGTTATATGTGAATATATGTTTTCAATTTTCTTGGATATATAGGAGCAGAATTGCTGGGTCACGTGGTAACTGTATGTTTACCTTGTTTTGCTTTTGTTTTTGTTTGTTTTGTTTCAAGACAGTCTTGCTCTGACACCTAGGCTGGAGTGCAGTGGTGTGATTTCGGCTCACTGCAACTTCCATCTCCCAGATTCAAGTGATTCTCCCACCTCAGCCTCTTGAGTAGCTGGGACTACAGGTGCCTGCCACCACGCCCGGCTAATTTTTGTATTTTGAGTAGAGACAGGGTTTCACCATTTTGGTCAGGCTGGTCTCAAACTCCTGACCTTGTGATCCACCTGCCTTTGCCTCCCAAAGTGCTGGGATTACAGGTGTGAGCCACCACACCCAGCCTATATTTACCTTTTGGAGGAATGGCCAGACTCTTTGCAAAGCAACTGCATTGTTTTACATTCACCAGCAATGTATGAGGGGTTCCAATTACTCCACATTTGCTTTGTCATTTTCCCCTTTTAAAAAAAGTTATAGGCTGGGTGTGGTGACTCATGCCTGTAATCCCTGCACTTTAGGAGGCTGAAGTTGGTGAATCACCTGAGGTCAGGAGTTTGAGACCAGCTTGGCAACATGGTGAACCCCATCTGTACTAAATATACAAAAATTAGCCAGGTATGGTGGTGTGTACCTATAATCCCAGATATTTGGGAGGCTGAGGCGGGAGAATCGCTTGAACCTGGGACGTGGAGGTTGCAGTGAGCCGAGGTTGTGCCACTGCACTCCAGCCTGGGCAACAGAGTAAGACTCCATCTCAAAAAAAAAAAAATTATAGCCATACCACTGGGTGTGAAATGATATCTCATTGTGGTTTTGATTTGCATTTTTCTAATGACTAATGATTTTGAGCATCTTTTCATTTGCTTCTTGGCCATTTTGAAATCCAGTAAATGTCTCTTTCAACTTTTTTCTTTTTCAAGATTGTTTTTGCTATTCTGAGTCCCTTACATTTCCATTTGAATTTTAGGATCAGCTTGTTACTTCCTGACAAAAAATGCAACTGAGATTTTGATAGGGATTACATTTAATCTGTAGATCTATCTGAATAATATTGTTTCTTAATCCACAAACATGGATATCTTTTCATTTATATAGGTTTTCTTTAATTTCTTTCAAAAATGTTTATAGTTTTCAGTGTATAAGTCTTACATTTCTTTGGTTAAATTTCTAAGATTTTTATTATTGATGCTTATATTAGTTTGCTTGGGCTACAGTAATAGAATACCATAAATGGTGTGGCTTAAACAATGGAAACTGAACTTCTTACAGTTCTAAAGACTGGAAGTCTAAGATTAAGCTGCCAGCAGAGTTGGTTTTGGGTGAGGCCTCTCTTCCTGGTTTGCAGACTGCCTCCTTCTTGCTGTGTCTTCACATAGACTTTTCTCTGTACATATGTAGAGAGAGAGAGTAATCTTTGATGTCTCTTCCTCCTCTTCTTCTTCTTCTTCTTTTTTTTTTTTTTTGAGACAGAGTTTTGCTTTTGTTGCCCAGGCTGGAGTGCAATGGCACAATCTCAGCTCAACACAACCTCTGCCTCACGGGTTCAAGTGATTCTCCTGCCTCAGCCTCCTGAGTAGCTGGGACTATGGGTATGGGCCAGCATGCCTGGCTAATTTTTTATTTTTAGTAGAGATGGGGTTTCTCCATGTTGGTCAGGCTTGTCTTGAACTCCTTACCTCAGGCGATCTGCCCACCTTAGCCTCTCAAAATGCTGGGATTACAGGTGTGAGCCACTGTGCCCAGCTGGATAAGGATTCAGTCTTTCACCAACAAGTATGATGTTAGCTGGGGCTTTTTGTAGATGTCCTTTATCAAATTGATGGCATTTCCTTCTATTCCCAGAGTGGGAATGTTTTATGTTTTTATCATAAAAAAATATTGGATTTTGGCCAGGCACGGTGGCTTACACCTGTAATCCCAGCACTTTGGGAGGCTGAGACAGGCAAATCACCTGAGATCAGGAGTTTGAGACCAGCCTGGCTAACATGGTGAAACCCTTTCTCTGCTAAAAATACAAAAATTAGCCGGTGTGGTGGCAGGTGCCTGTAATCCCAGTTACTCAGGAGGCTGAGGCAAGAGAATCGTTGGAACCTGGGAAGCAGAGGTTGCAGTGAACAGAGATCGTGCCACCCCAGCTTGGGCGGCAGAGCAAGAATCCATCTCAAAAAAAAAAAAAAAGATATTGGATTTTGTTTAATGCTGCTTCTACATCTATTGAAATGATCATGTGAATTTTATCCTTTATTCTTTCAATGTGGTATGTTAAATTGGTTGATTTTCATATATTGAACCAACCTTGCTATCCTGGGATAAATTTCATGTGGTTTTTGGTGTGTACTCCTTTTTATGTGTTGTTGGTTTCAGTTTGCCAGTATTTGGGGGGAGTGTTATGTCTGTATTCATAAGGAATATTGATTTGTAGTTTTCTTGTGATGTTCTTTCATCTGGTTTTGATAAACCGGTCTCATAGAAGGCATTGGGAAGTGTGCGCTCCCTTTTTATTTTTTGGGAAGAGTGTGAATTCTTTTTTATATGTCTGGTAGAATTCACCAGTGAAGACATCTGATCCTGGGCTTTTCTTTGTGAAAGGTTTTTTCTGTTTGTTTGTTTTGTTTTGTGTTTTACTACTAATGCAAACTCTTTGCTTATTATAGGCTTATTCAGGTTGTCTATTTTTTCTTGAATCATTCAGTAGTTTGTGTCTGTGTAGGAATTTGTCCATTCCATCTAGGTTACTTAATTTGTGGGCATACAGTTTTTTTGTTTGTGTTTTGTTTTGTTGAGACAGTCTCTCACTCTGTCACCCAGGGTGGAGTGCGGTGGCACGATCTTGGTTCACTGCAACCTCCACCTTCCAGGTCAAGCAATTCTCATGCCTCAGTCTCCCAATTAGCAGGGACTACAGCCGTGCATCACCATGCCTGGCTAATTTTTTTTGCATTTTTGGTATAGACAGGGTTTCGATATGCTGGCTAGGCTGATCTCAAACTCCTGGCCTCAAGTGATCCGCCCACCTTGGCCTCCCAAGTACTGGGATTACAGGCATGAGCCCCTGCACCTGGCTGGCATACAAATATTTATGAAATTCTCTTATAATCCCTTTTATTTCTGTAAGGTTGGTTCAATAATGTATTTCTTTCAATCCTAATTTTAGCAACTTGAATCTTAATTTTTTTCTTAGTCTGCCTTGCTAAGGTTTGTCAATTTTGTTGATTTTTTTCCCTAGAAACTTTTGGTTTTATTGATTTTTCTCTATTGTTTTCTGTCCTCAACTTTATGTGTTTCTACTCTAATCTGTATTATTCCCTTACTTCCACTTGCTTTGGATTTAGTTTTCTTTTTTGAGTTTCTTAAAATGTAAGATTAGGTAATTTATTTGAGGTCTTTATTTAATGTAGCATTTACAGCTATAAATTTCCCATTTAGGTATGCTTTAGCTGCATCTCATAAATTTTGCTACATTGTTTTTGGTGGCTTTTGCTTTGTTTTTTGTTTTTTTGAGATGGAATCTTGCTGTCGCCCAGGGTGGAGTGCAGTGGCACAATCTCAACTTAACTGCAGCCTCCGTCTCCCAGGGATTCTCATGCCTCAGCCTCCCGAGTAGCTGGGATTACAGGTGTACACCACCACACCCAGTTAATTTTTGTATTTTTAGTAGAGATGGGGTTTTACCTTGTTGGTCAGGCTGGTCCCAAACTCCTGACCTCAGGTCATCCACCTGCCTCGGCCTCCCAAAGTGCTGTGATTACAGATCTGAACCTCTGTGCCCAGCCCTCATTTTACTACATTGTGTTTTTGTTTTCATTCACTTCGAAGTATTTTCTAGTATCTCCTGTGATTTCTTCTTTGACTTAATAGTTATTTTGGAGTGTGTTGTGTGGTTTCCACAGATCTGTAAATTTTCCAAATTTCCTTCAATTATTGATTTATTATTATATTGCTTGTAGTGAGAGAATATACATTGTATGATTGCAATCCTTTTAAATTTATTGACACTTGTTTTGTAGCCTAACAGATGGTCTGTTTTGGAGACTATTCCATGTGCACTTGCGAAGAACGTATATTCTGTTGGTTTGGGGTGGAAAGTTCTATAGATGTTCCTTAGATCTAGTTGGTTTGTAATGTTGTTCAAGTCTTCTATTTCCTTGTTGGTTTTCTGTCTAGTTCTATCTGTTTTTGAGAGTGAAATATTATTTCTCTAATTAGTACTGTTGAATTGTTTATTTCTCCCCTTATTTATTTTTTGTTTAATGTATTTTGAAGTTCTGTTGTTAGGTGGATATTTGTTTATAATTGTTGTAGCTTCTTTTTTTTTTTTCTTCCTCTGTTGCCCAGGCTGGAATGCAGTGGTGTGATCTTGGCTCACTGCAACCTCCAACTCCCAGGTTCGAGTGATTCTCCTGCCTCAGCCTCCTGAGTAGCTGGGATTACAGACACCCCATTACCACACCCAACTAATTTTTGTTATTTTTAGTAGAGACAGGGTTTCACCATATTGGCCAGGTTAGTCTCAAACTCCTGGCCTCAAGTGATCCACCCGCCTCAGCCTCCTAAAGTGCTGGGATTATAGGCATGAGCCACTACACCCAGCCTGTATCTTCTTGATGGACTGACTTTTAAAATAATTATTAAATATCCTTTTTTTGTGTCTAGTACTACATTTTGTCTTAAAGTCTTTTTTGTCTGATATAAGTAGAGCTACTTCGGCTCTTTTCTTTGGCAATAATAAGCCAGATGGGACTGGAGTGGTGACTCACTTCTGTAATCACAGAATTTTGGGATGCCTAAGTGGAGGATCTCCTGAGGCCAGAAGTTTAAGACCAGCCTAGCCAACAAAATGAGACCCTGTCTCTAAAATAAAAAAAAAAAAACTTAAAAATTAGCTGGGTGTTAGCCTATACCAGTAGTACCAGCTACTCAAAAGGCTGAGTTGGAAGGATAACTTGAGACCAGGATTGAGGCTACAGTGAGCTATGGTTGTGCCATTGCACTTTAGCCTGGATGACAGAGTGAGATCCTCTTTGGAAAAGGGGGGAATGGGGAGAGAGATAATGATCACTTGAGTCCAGGAGTTCAAGACCAGCCTGGGCAATACAGACTCCATCTTTAAAAAGACTTTTTAAAATTAGTTGGGTATAGTGGCATGTGCCTTTTACTCCCAACTACTTGGGAGGCTGAGGCAGGATTGCTTAAGCCCAAGAGTTCAAAGTTGCAGTGAGCTATGATCACTTGGGTGCACCACTGCACCCAAGCTAGGCAATAGAGCAAGATAAAATCATCTCTAAAGATTAAAATAAATGAAATAAATTATCTCTTGTAGACATAATATAATTGGATCATGTTATTTTTATCAATTTTTCTAATCTCTGCCTTTAGATTGAAGAACTTAATCCATTTACATTTAGTGTAATTACTAACAAGGTAGGATTTATGTCTGTCACTTTGCTATTTTCTATATGTCTTTTGTGTTTTTATTTCTTTTTTTTAAAATTTTTTATTGCATTTTAGGTTTTGGGGTACATGTGCAGAACATGCAAGACAGTTGCATAGGTACACACATGGCAGTGTGTTTTGCTTCCTTTCTCCCCTTCACCCACATATGGCATTTCTCCCCAGGCTATCCCTCCCCACCTCCCCCTCCCACTGGCCCTCCCCTTTTCCCCCCAATAGGCCCCAGTGTTTAGTACTCCCCTCTCTGTGTCCATGTGTTCTCATTTTTTATCACCCACCTATGAGTGAGAATATGCGGTGTTTCATTTTCTGTTCTTGTGTCAGTTTGCTGAGAATGATGTTCTCCAGATTCATCCATGTCCCTACAAACGACACGAACTCATCATTTCTGATTGCTGCATAATATTCCATGGTGTATATGTGCCACATTTTCCCAATCCAGTCTATCATCATTGGGCATTTGGGTTGATTCCAGGTCTTTGCTATTGTAAACAGTGCTGCAATGAACATTCGTGTGCATGTGTCCTTATTGTAGAACAATTTATAGTCCTTTGGATATATACCCAGTAATGGGATTGCTGGGTCAAATGGAATTTCTATTTCTAAGGCCATGAGGAATCGCCACACTGTCTTCCACAATGGTTGAACTAATTTACACTCCCACCAACAGTGTAAAAGTGTTCCTTTTTCTCCACATCCTCTCCAGCATCTGTTGTCTCCAGATTTTTTAATGATCGCCATTCTAACTGGCGTGAGATGGTATCTCAATGTGGTTTTGATTTGCATCTCTCTGATGACCAGTGACGATGAGCATTTTTTCATATGATTGTTGGCCTCATATATGTCTTCTTTCGTAAAGTGTCTGTTCATATCCTTTGCCCACTTTTGAATGGGCTTGTTTGTTTTTTTCCTGTAAATCTGTTTGAGTTCTTTGTAAATTCTGGATATCAGCCCTTTGTCAGATGGGTAAACTGCAAAAATTTTTTCCCATTCTGTTGGTTGGCGATCTACTCTAGTGACTGTTTCTTTTGCCGTGCAGAAGCTGTGGAGTTTGATTAGGTCCCATTTGTCTATTTTGGCTTTTGTTGCCAATGCTTTTGGTGTTTTGTTCATGAAGTCCTTGCCTACTCCTATGTCCTGGATGGTTTTGCCTAGATTTCCTTCTAGGGTTTTTATGGTGCCAGGTCTTATGTTTAAGTCTTTAATCCATCTGGAGTTAATTTTAGTGTAAGGTGTCAGGAAGGGGTCCAGTTTCTGCTTTCTGCACATGGCTAGCCAGTTTTCCCAACACCATTTGTTAAACAGGGAATCCTTTCCCCATTGCTTGTTTTTGTCAGGTTTATCAAAGACTGTATGGTTGTAGATATGTTGTGTTGCCTCCAATGCCTCTGTTTTGTTCCATTGGTCTATATCTCTGTTTTGGTACCAGTACCATGCTGTTTTGATTACTGTAGCCTTGTAGTATAGTTTGAAATCCGGTAGTGTGATGCCCCCCGCTGTGTTCTTTTTGCTTAGAATTGACTTGGCTATGCGGGCTCTCTTTTGGTTCCATGTGTTTTTATTTCTTATTCCGTTACTGATTTTTTTGTAGACATTTTCCAATGTACCATTTTAATTTCTTGTCATTTCTTTTCCTATATTTCTAAAGGTATTTTCTTTTTAAATTTATTTTATTTATTGTCTTTTTGTTGTTATTGAGCACTAAACAGAATTCATACAGTTTATAGTTGGGGCTATCTATTTTTTTAAAATT